TTCTTGCAGTAGATGCACTAAAATTGTCACGACTTGAGCTTTTAGCCAAGTCACCTTTTCCTTTCTTACTAACCGATAATTATTTCAAGTTTTGGTTTTTCCCACCATTAGACACCATAGTAGATCTTTCTATATGTAGATTGTTAAGCATTACTCTTTTTTTGCTCTCTTTTGCTTTAACCATGAAGATCACCTCATTTAAAGAAGGTAAATCTTCTTTTCCCAAAATTTAGACCTTGACTTGATCAAATTCAACATTAAGTCCAGTAAGAAAATCTTAGACTTGATATTTTTTAATAAATTTTTTTAAAGTTGATGTATCTTCACTGCACTTCATTTTTATGCATCGGTAGTGGTCCATCTCTTGCCAAATATTTTTTTAGAAGAATAGCATACTCTGTGACTAACTTATTCCCTTGTTTGAGAGCTGCAATCTTGATCTTTATGTTATAAACTTGAGCAGCATCCTTAACTTTAGAGTAGGTTTGTCAAATTGATTCTCAAATGTCTTTAACTGTGGATAAAAACATGTAAGTGTCACTAATATCTAGTGTCATAGAATTCTATAGCCATGACATAACCATGAAATCCTCTTCATCTCAAGCCTCAAATTTTGGATCTACTCTTTCAAGACCAGTACCAAAAAGATGGCTCAAATTTTTCTTCCCTTTTAGAGAGGTTTGAACCAACTAATACCACTTCAAGTAGTTTTTTCCATTCAATCTATGTGCAGCTTGGATATTTTGTAGTTTTTCTATGGTTTGACCAGTTGTTACTTCTTCATATCATGTAGTAGCGGCAAATTCTGTCATCTCTGACATGGTTATCTTTTTCAAGATTGAAATGAGTCTTGATAGTAAAGGTTTAACCAATGATAATTTTAGGCAATGAAGGCCAAAAAGGAAAAAAAATAAGATTATTAAAAACTTAATAGGATTTGGCTATGAAGGCCTGAAATAGAATTCAACAATGAAGGCTGAAAAAATTTTCTTCCCAAGAAGAGTCTAAAGCTTTGATACCATGTGAAAAAAATTGAGAGTATATAGAAAACTTCTTTGTAGAATTAAACAAGTACTATAAGTTTATATACAGCCAACTAGAGGGTAAAATAAAAAACTAAAATTTCCTAAAATTGATCATTATAATTAAGAGATTGTTTATTCTAATTTTTTTTATCCTTAATTCTAGGGATATAAATACATAATTTTAGGGATACAAATATATACAAATTACATGAAACCTTATGAAAACTTAGGTACTTTACTTTATCTTAAGGGATGAAATTCGAGAGTAGAGCTCATGTTATGTATATGCATATGAATGATAGAACATTAGAAACTTGAAAAATAAATTAAGAAAAGAAAAAAAATATTTTTAAAGAAAACATTAGGCTTGGGTAACACAAATTCATTTACTGGCCTAACTCTCGGCTATCCTCAGTGGACTTACCAAATTATCATAACGTATGATCTGTGGACCAATTGCTAGAAATTGACTTAAATAAGTCACTACTAATAATTTTTGTTTAGGTGCGATTGGTTATTTAACTGAATCTATCATACTTTAAAAAGATGTCCCAAGCTTGACTTGGGTATCTTAAAAGATATATTCTAATCCATGAAACCAAGCTAGGTTTGAGAGTATGGTTACGTGTGAGGAAGATTATAAAACCCTTATAATGCTCATAAAAAAATGATACTAGTTTGATTTCATGTTATCTAAGCCTTAAAATATGTTTATAATTTACCCAATAATTTAATTATTGAAAATTGATCTTAAAATTACTCCAATAGTTTGGTAGTAATTTAAGATAATTTTTCATCTTAGGAGTATTCATGGAGACTAGTATCCCACTCTAAAGAGGCTTTGTCGTTAGATTCATTAATATGTTTTTCAAAAAATTAATTATTAGAAAACAATCAATAAAATCTTTCAATAGTTTGGTATGATTTTATTTCGATGCATATCTCCCAATAATTTAGTGGGATTTTTATTTGAAAACCTTTTAATAAAATTTTAAAAAAAGTCATTAAATCTTCCAATAGTTTGGTAAGATTTAATTCAAAATTTAAATCCTTTAATCATTTGGTAGGATTCAAAAACTTTTTTTCACAAAATTTCATTATGAAATTTTCTAATAGTTTGGCAGAATCCATAATTTAAAATTTCTAAACCTATAAAATTCCTCTAATAGATTGGTAGGAATCATAAGTTTATTTTGAAAAATTATTTTAAAAAATTTTAAATAGATAAAATTTACACAAATAAAATAAATAAAATAAAATAAAATAAAAAGTATCACTTAAAATCAAATAAAAAAATTTAAATAAATAAAAAACAATAAAACAAATAAAAAATTTTACCAAAAAATGGACGACTCAGCTTGTGGCTTAGAAATTTTGAAAAACGAAAATTCAAATGAAAATATGAAATTTTTAAAAATTTTCTAAAAATTTCTAAAAACACATAAAAAAACACGAATTAGACTCCCTAAATCTTTCAATTGTTGAATTAAACTTACAACTTTCTAAAATTTCTCAAAAAAACTTTTTATTGAGGTTTTTTTTTTTGGTTTTCTTCTCTCAAATTTTTTGTACTACTCTGATTGCTCTCTGTTTGTTGTGTGATTGTTGGGTTGAATATAGGCCTTTTTATAGGGATAAATTGACAGAGTTTTAAATCAATTTCAATTCCAAAGCTAAGGATTATCATGAAAAAAAAATCTTGAAAAGTTTAAATTTAAATTCAATCATGATAAAGCCAAATTTATCATCGTCACTCCACCCAATTGATTTTCGACCATTTAAAATTTTTCCTTTTTGTCAATTATCTCTTTCTCTTTTTTTTAAACAACCAAATAATTAAAAAATTAGATAAATATAAACCAATTAAATAAATATAATTAAAGATAAACCACAACTAAATCAGATAAAAAATAAAATAAAATGAAGTAGAAAAGATAAATAATATATATAGATAAATATCATAAAAATAAAATAAAAACAAAATTTAACAATTAAGCGTAGATCGAATCCGAACTCAAGAAATTTTGGATCTTAGATTAAATATGATGTCTATAATTGCTTTTTACTTTTCTCATTAATATGAAATTATGACTTGGTTTAGAAGAAAAAAAAACCCAACCCCTAATCTACCTATACCTTAAAATATATGTATAAACTATGGATGATGATGCTTTGATATTTCAGTTAATGCATAACATTATAAATTTTTAAAATTTGATTCGAATTCGAAATGATTTATTTTAAAACCAATTCAATTTAAACTGAATTATATTAGTTCAATTTGGTTCATCAAATTTTAAAAATTACATTTTAAATTTTTTGATAGTATTTTAATATAATATTTAATATATATCTAATTATATTTAAGTAAAATAATTATTTTTATTTTATAAAAATTTAAAATATATAAACTAAGAAAAATATATAATTTAGTTTAGATTGATTTTTATTTTTGATCCAAAATTCGATTCAAACTTAATATTTAAATTTAATCTAAATAAAATAAAAAATATTTCTAACCAATCAAACACTAAAAATTTAAATAATTTTTATGTCCTTAATTTTTTTCTCACCCTAGTGTAAACCCAATACTCGGGCACCTTTATAAAGTCAACTTGGTATCACATATAGGCCCCAGCACAACTTGGGCTAAGCTTAGACGTGGGATGCATAAGGATTTGCCTTGGTAGTATAACCCAACTCGACTTAGATAGCTAATTTCAAACTTTACTGTTTACAGAATGCGAAAAACAAATAAATAAACAATATCTTAATTTATGAATTAATTTTTAATATATTGACAGTAATTACGTGTTATATATTATCAATTAATTATACAATGACACATCAATAATAAATAAAACTAAAAGTAGTCCAATTATAAATACTTTTAGCAATTAATTAAACTTAAAAAAATTATTAATATTTATTTTTAAAAATTTAATTATTTTTAATTTTACCCATTAATAAAATGTCCTCTTATAATTTGTTGACAATATATAACATTTGTACACTATCGATGCACCGAATATTAACTCTCAACTTATTTATATGTCAATTCTTTCTATGGTGGTCTTTTTCCAAATGACAATGGGCTTTTTTTTTCCCCCATTTTAATTACATTTTGCGTGACTTATGCTACATGAACTTTTTTGTTTTATCTTACAGCATTTATGTTTGTTTTTTTTTTGTACACTTTTTTTTTTGGAATTCAAGGGAGCATAACTCTACATTAAAGGGAAGGAAAAAGTTGAGGTTTAAACCCCAATCTTGATGTTTTCTTTAAGGTTATTTTGATCATTAAATCAAATAGCTGAAAGCGTACACTTTAAATTTATACAAATATGATCCCCGAATTCTCAAAATTAATGTAAGAAAATTGCTAAAAAAAATGAAAAGTTATTACATATATTAGTGTCTAAAATTCTATTATGAGTTCATGTAACATTGCAGATTTAATAATTCGTATATTTGTATCATATCTATTTCATATCAAATATATATAAACATAAAAATTTTTATGTTATAATTTGTGTTCACATGCCAAATAAAAAGATATTTTTTTATTTTTGTCAAACATAAAATATATTTTTGGATTTTATCAAAGATATATTGTTTTTGTTAAAATTTTAAATTATATTATTTTTGTGTCTTTTTTTTTATATTATATCATTAAATTGTGTCTAAAATTATGAATTTACAATGATGAATAAGCTATGGTTTGTAAGTTAAAATAATGTCCATCACATCTATAAGTAAAACAAGGTCAATCAAGTAGCTATAATTGTAATTGCAAAACCTTCGGCCACGACCAAGTAAAATGCAAAGCCTTGACAACCTCTGCATACATTCTCCTAAGACCATGGTGGTTCATACATTTCCATTGGCACTTGCGCATTTATCTTAAGAGGGAGGGACAACCGGACAAGTATAAATTAAAGCCTACAATTTGAGCTAAAAGCAACGACAATCAAGATGGTTTCCAAACATTTTTTTCATGTTCTATTCTTTCTTGACTTCGTTTCATTTCCATTTTCCTCTGTGGCTTTTCATGCTGTTACGCCTTTAAATGAATCCAATGTCGTGCATTCTAGCTCTTCCTCTTCGTCAAATTTTAATACAATTAACGTAGAAGGCAACAAAACTGATGGAACCTACTTTAGTGGCTGCTTTGATAAGGTTTATGCGTTTGGAGACTCATATACTGACACCGGAAATGCTCAATTGTTGGGTGGATTGAAGAACTTCGAAAGTGGTTTTTTATCAAAAGGTTCAAACTTTGGCCAAAGATCATGTGATGGTCGGTTGGTCGTTGATTTCCTTTGTGATGCTCTCAACATATCATCATTGCGACCATATAAATCCATTTCTGCAAACTCCGCTGCAAACTTGAGTTTAGGAGTGAACTTTGCAACTGCTGGGGCAACAGTTTTTACAAGAAAATTTTTTGCCCATTACAAAATCAATAACACCCTAATGTGGCAAGGCACTCCCCAGAGTTTCCATACCCAAATAGAATGGTTCAACAAGTTTCTTTCAGATATAGCTTGCAAGGGAAAATCAGAGGAGGGATGCAAGGCAGATATGGGAAGCAGCCTCTTTTGGCTTGGACAAATGGGTATAGGTGACTATGCTCGTGTTTTAGGGTCTACTATTTCATTACGATGGCTTAAAGATATGACTATTGCTTACACCTCCAATCTCCTTACGGTAAGCATGTCTTCCATGAAAATCCTTCTACAAGTACATATGTGAAAGTCAGTTAAATCTACGATATGAAATCATTTCTAAAGAGTTGAATCCAAGATTTCTAAGGGATCGAAATGACCCTCCAATTTTCAACTAGACTCTTAAAAATGATCTAGTGAGAAATTGGTGGTTCGATGCAAAGACGAATCTAAGGGGCAGACAGGGACCCTGACTCCCCAAAATTTTGGGATAACATTATACTACAGCTTTGGATTTCACTTAATATAATTCTTGGTCCCATTTCCAGTTTGATCTACTATTTAGTTCCTTGAAGAGTTTCTTGGCTTTGCCCTATGTGGTGAGAGGCTCTCGAAACAAATATTAATAAAAATATTTCTCTAAATTTAATATTTTTTTTATAAAAAAAGTCATAGTTTGGGGATTGAGAAAAAATATTGCAGTAATTAAATTTTGATTTTTAAATTTATTGAATATTATTTTTTAAAAATATTACATGAACTAATTGAATTAGTATCTGAGTTATAAATTTTAATGGTTAAGAAGTTTTTTGAAAACCTTTTGGTGCCAGCTAACGTGGACGTTCCTTTTTTTTTTTTTTTTTGTTGCAGACATTGTTTGACACGGGTGCAAAATACATTGTGGTTCAAGGGCTACCACCCCTAGGGTGCTATCCATTTGCCAAGTTGAGTCCAAATTTTGTCAAGGATGATATGGGTTGTGCAGCTGGTATCAATAAAGCAATAATAGCCCATAATGACCTTCTCCAAACCATATTGGAAGGATTTCGAAAGAAGCAAGGTGGAAAGTGTATGATTTTATATGCTGATTACTTCAATGCATACAAGGAAATCACGACAAACCTTGGAAAATTTGGGCTTGAAGATGCATTCAATGCATGTTGTGGTGCTGGAAATGGACCTCTCAACTTTAACTTAGAAAGTTTATGTGGAATGTTGGGTACCACAGCCTGCAAAAACCCAGATTCTCACGTCCATTGGGATGGCATTCATCTCACTGAAGCAATGCATCGACAAATATCTGATCTCTTCCTCTACAAAGACTTTTGCCAACCATCTTTCATCGAACTAATTAAAATGAAGAAAGGCCAAGTTCGTACGAACCCCCCTTCCACTTCCCCCTAGATTGCCCTAGAGATGAAGACAATAATTTCTTTCCCTTTTTTTGGTGAATAACAAATCTATAACTATTAGACATATTGATCAGTAGTTGAATTTTGGTTGTAAAAATGGCTTTTTCATTAACTTTCTATTGGTAATTCGCTATACTAAATCCATTGCAAATTATTTATTTTTTACTCCTTTGGTCTCACTTTGTTTCACTTTTCTGTCATAAGTTTAACACACTGAGCACAAAATCTATGTTATTCAACTTCAACTTAAGATGATAAGTACTCAACCAGTTAATTTGATTATAGCATTGAATTTTGTATGCATGTTAAGTAATCTTGTCTATTCTTAACAATTTAGTACCATTTTGCAAATGAAATCTAATGTCTAATCAAGGCTTATACTCCAATACTACTAGAAATCAAGGCTTATATATGTGGAGGGTAGAAATAAACTGGTGTTGAAGGGACAAATATCATTACAAATAGTAAACAAAACTTCACTTCTGGTAATTAAAAGATTGTTGATTGTATGACGAAATTTCCTTGTTAATCATCATTGTTTTATAGGCAGAGTTTTCCTCCTTTTGATTGGTACATGAAGAACTAGACTTTTTTTTTTTTTTTTTGGTTCCGGTGGTATAATCTAATGATCCATTTGACTGCAGTGGCTTAATTAATCAACAGTGCTGTCAATCTAGCTCCACCAAAAGAAAGCTACAAAAATTTCTAGTTGTGGGACATCAAATGCTGCAGGATAAGCATTTTATCAACCGACAAATCTGTCAGAATGATCCTTTGATTGATCTAAGTTTCTGCTTGATTCATTAGCCTTGCAATTCAGGAACAGTTGGAAAATTATTCATTTCTTGAATTTGTACTTGGCTTGAATCCACTAACACATTGTAGCTCTCCCTCTCCTTCAAAGGACACAGTTCTTGATATCTGTTATGTGGTGCTTCTTTTGTCTGATACACAATTACATGATCCCTTGTCAATTTCCATTGAAAAGGACTTCAATTTTGCTGCTGAATACAAGGAGGAACTCGAACAATTTCAAGTGGAATTCATAGAAGAAAAAGACTAATCAACCACCAGCACATTCTTGCATCAAGCTTATAGACCTATTTAGTTTTCCTTTTTGGTAGTATATGAACTAGAAAGCAGCAGAGTCCAGGTTGAGCTCTCTTCTGGTTGGATCTGGCAAAAGAAGTTTGTTCCACCAAAGTCCCATTGTCAACTACTTGAGTTCTAGAATTTTACTATCAAGATCAGTAGGGTGAGGGTCCTATGTGTCTTAGTCCAAGTCAACTTTCAATTGATGAGAGATTTGATGTTTGGAATGGCATCAATTAGAAGGTCCTACATATATTCAAATAATATACCACAACAATAATATTTAATATCAATTTTTGTAATCAAAATTATCTATATTGCTCTAATTCTTTATTTTTCTTTAAATATGTGTTGGACATATATTTGAGAGATATGAGTATAAAAATCTAACCTTCCAAATATATAAAAATAAAAAAATAAAAAAGTTGGCCGTACCCGTATTGGACATATGTTCGTATCCAACATTTCCCTTTAAGCTGAGTGACATAGATCACATTATTATTTTTGTTAAATTAATAAGGGTTGCAATCCATCATGCCATCATTCTAGTCTCGAATCCCTACATTTTAAGTAAAGATAACCAAAAAAAAAAAAAAATTAAGACCTTTATTAATTATTTATTATATTTTAATCACATTTCTTATCAGCATTATCTAATAAAATGATGCAATTTATTTTAAAAGGTATAAATTTTATATAACTAATACTCACTGCTCACATATCATAACTCTTCCTCACTTATTATTTGCTTTTTATTATCTAAAAAAATAAACATAACCTAACCCTCAAAGTCAAAGTTATTAATGAGAAAAAAAATTAGTTTCCACATTGTACATGAGTGAGAAATGAGAATAAAAAACATATAAAAGAATTAAATTATTAATGGGGTCACTTCACTTCACTTTGGGGATAGTGGTGTCTTACGACTGTAAGAAGGCTAGTTTGTGACTCCCATTTGCTTCTTTTTTTTTTTTTCTTTATCCCTACCCCTTTTAAGCAGCAAAATCTAAACAAAAGAAAAGATTCAGTATTTTTCTCTCATTGCTTTCTAATGTTCATGTTGACTCTCACAAATTTGCTAGCGTAAAACCCAAGCCCTTGTTCAATCAAGCTGTATACGAACAGTATAAAACTGAGGCTTTATCAAGTTGTATATATAGAAACTGCAATGAAGCTACTAGGTATAGTTATTGGATCTCCAGCTTAGGCTGTTGTCTCTTCTAACTGTTTGTTCCAGTCCTCCATAATTGAACTTAATTTTATTTTTTACAAAAGAAAACGCAGTTTGGAGATAAAATAATCGATTGAGTTGCTAGAATTTGAATCCAAACTTGTTGAATCGATATCATTTCTTAAATGTAGTTGTATGATTTAATTAAATTAAATTTTGAGTTTTTAATTTAAGTTAATTTAATGATATATATATATATATATATGAACTTTTATTCTATATGTCATCAGTTCATAAACGGAATTAAAATATTGCATAATTCAGAAAAGGATATTTTTCCAGCAAATAAGCAAGCAAATGGAATTGCTTATGAAATTAAATAATGGTGGGATAAGTTAATTAGATGAATATGAAACTAGAATAAGTCCAACGGGATAAAAAATGGATCACATTCATAATTAGCTTCTTCAAAGATAAAGTATGACTTTCAAGATAAGTTGCTCATTGCGGCGGCTGATCATGTGGGGAGGTTTAGAAAAGATGGGATCATGTTGGCATCAAATAAAATTAAAGTGATTGGAATTTTGAAGGAGAGATGAACCACAACTTTAACAAGTAGCACAAGGCAAAGACTTAGCTAGTCAAATATTCCCCTTTCATTTCATAATCTTAGGACCTTAATTTACATTTATGTTTAAAGGCTTTTCTCCGAGTATAGCACCAACTAGGATATCAATCCATTTTCCCTTTCAGCGTTGAATGCCATTACATTTGAATCGCTATCAATACCCTTCAAGACAAAAGCTAGTGTCATTGATCCCATATCGATAGGATGTTATATGCAAGCCATAGACTAATTAGAAACTTTAGTTTAACAGTATTAGATATTTTGCCATGCTTTTAAGAATCACAATACCAATAATGTTCTTCTAGAGCTTTCATGTCATTTTCTAAGTAGCGGTAAAATTATGAAAATGGAAGTAGTATGCCATGAGTTTATGACTCTCTTTGCTAGTACTTCTATATAAGAATAAAGTTCATTTGAGAACAACAATCAATTTGAAAGCAATTGATATAACACACACCAACATTAGCTTGGTTAGAGTACTTTTACAAAATTAAAAAAGAAAAGAAAAAAGAAGGCGATACCCCCTTCTTCAAACTTTCCATTAGATACAAGCTAGTTCTCTAATTATATATATATATATATATATATATTAACCAGCAATATATGGTAAATACATAAGATTTGCCATAGCCTGTTGCAGCCATTCATCCTCATCATCCTTGATCTGCAAAGCAAAAAATATGACCATACATCACTACCTGCAGAGTGAAAACTTCCATCTAAATGGTAAATAATTGAATATGTTCTGACATGATCTGATGATCAACTCAACACCTTACATATGTAATATATATATATATATATATATATATATGTATATATCCTAGGTGTATCTTCTTCTTCCAATTATGGAATTATGCGTTAATATATATGAAGTACCTGAACTGCATCATACAAGTTTTTGTCATTGGGTGAATTGTCATCTTCCTTTTTCATTACCATTTCTTCTTCACATTGTTCAGTGTTCCTTGCAAATCTTCCCCGGACTCTAACTCTTCTGTCAGCTAAGGTTTTCCGGCAAGCATACTATATATATATATATATATATATAAATGCAATGAAATAGAGTCAATGCACATTCCTTTTTGTATACAACGTCTTGAGAAAGAGAGAGATGAGGGAAAAGGAAGATACCTTAATTGTCTTGTTAAAGTTCCTTTGATTTCTCTTCTTCAAGTATCTAAGAATTCTTTCTTTCCTTTCTTCTACTGAATACCGGCTAACCTTAAGATTGCTGTCATCCATAGCTGGCGGCAGTCGATTCCCTTGAATTCCCTTTTGAAAATAAATAAATATAACAAAAATAAGTGCCCCAAAACATTTATTTTCTGTAACTCTTGCTTTATACCGTTTCATGAAATTGTACAAAACCATGCAATAAAGAAAATAGAGAAAAAAAAATTTATACCCAGTTTTCTCCCACGGTTGGATCAACCGGCTTGAAATCCTGATGAACATATCCACTGCAATCCTCCCCAAACTCACTGACATCTTGCAATTGATATCTGTCACCAAAATTTTGAATGGTTCCATTGCCGCAGAAGCCTGCAACGTTATTGTCAGGCAATGCTGTTGGAACGGCAAAGTCTGATGAAATCCCAATTAGCTCCGGCAACAATGCCGCTGATTCTTGTTGAAAACCATCAAGTCCACCGTTGTCCAAAAACATTGGAAAACTAATTTCTTCACCCCATGTTGCACCAGGAATTGCCCCACTACCGATGCAGTTTTCTTGAGAAATTAGCAATGAATTTGGAAACTGAGAAAAGTCATTGGAAAATGAATAATTATAATATAAATGAGGAATAGAAGCCATTGGAAAAAGAGAACAAAAATGGAATAGGAAAGCTGGTCGAAAGGGAATTAAAATAATGTGGGGGTGAGATTTCTTGATTTTTCTTTTTATATTTTGAGTCTCTTAAAGGCCTTTAAGGCTTCCTATATATATAGTCATTGTGAAAGTGCACTGTTTTCTCGCAAGTTGTTGTGGCTGTGCAACTCAAGATAGGATAATATGAGCAGCTCAAGCAGCTAATCATAACTAATTAACTCTCTAACTTTCACTAAACACTAGTTGTTTTAGTAACTGTTTTCTATATCTGTAAACGCGTAAATATGATAACAAATCGAGCTAGTGAATTTGCCTTTTGCTCTTTGTTTTTTACTTCTTAAAATAAAAAAGTAATTAAGCATGCAAATGCGGATAAGACTATAATTTATTAAAAATAAAGAAATAATTAAATAGATAGATTCAAATACATCGATGAAGATATAATTAATTATTATAACGATAAAATCAAAATCAATAATAAAATATATGTTTAAATACAAAAATAATAATGATGACGATGTGAATTATAGTGAGAAGAAATTTATCATTAAGAACATTATTAAAAGTTTTATTTAATAAAATTTTAAATATTTAATATTTATAAAATTTATTTATTATACAAAATTTGTTAATAAATAATGAAATTTATTCAAATTATTTATCAATTTATTAAATAATAAAATTTATATATTATATTAAATTAATAAAATTATTTCATAATTTTCAAATAAAAAAATCAATTTAAAGGCATTTTTGGTATAATGATAAAACTTAAAGGATAAAAAAAAAAAAAAAATTCACTTAGCGGTCGCCAATTCGAATACTAGTTGGTATTGACTAGTTGTTAATCTTACCAGTGGCTTGGATTTAAAAGTTACAATTAAGCATAATTTTCATGATAACTGCATTGCCACTTGTGGTGCCTTACAATCCAATCCAAACGTGGCCTAAACTTTTTATAGCCACAACCCATGAAGTGAATTTGTTTATATGTCTTCCCAAATCTCAGTACGGTAAAATTTACACTCTTTTTTGTTGGTATATAGAATGAACTACTATTACGTACTATTGGCTCTTTTATGCCTAAAATATATACATAAATAAGATTAAGATTCCTATCGAGCAAAGTCTTCTTGAGATGCTTTTGAAATGACAAGTTTTTGGATGGAACATGTTCTATTGATCATTCACCAGTCCAATTTAAAGAGAAAAGGTTTTCATTGAGTTCCAACCACTTGAATTAAAGCTCTCTAATTGATGTATATATTTTTTTCTCTTTTCTTTAGTTTTGTCCAAAAATTCCTGGTCAAGTTGCTGTCCGGGACAAGTGCTGTTTAACTATTGCAAAATTAAAAGCAGAGGACAAAAGTACAAAAATTGTAATTAAGTAACATGAGAATGAGAATAAGAAAGAGAATTACAGCTTTTAAAATTTGAATCTGATTCTATTAAATGCCACTTTAAGTTAATCTCGAGGTTAAAATTTAGTCACTAGCTAATGTTGGTGTGTGTTATAACAATTGCTTTCAAATTGATTATTCTTCTCAAATGAACTTATTCTTATATAAAAAGAGTCATAAACTCATGGCATACTACCTTCATTTTCACAATTTTACTGCTACGTAGAAAATGACATGAAAACTCTAGAAGAACATTAATGGTATTGAGATTCTTACAAGTATGGCAAAATATTCAAAATTGTAAAACTAAAGTTTCTAATCAGTCTCATGGTTTGCATATAACATCCAATTGATATGGGATTCGTGACACTAGTTCTTAGCTTGAAGGGTATTGGTAGCGATTGAAATATAATGACATTCGATGCTGAAAGAGAAGCGGATTGATATCCTGATTGTTGCTGTACTAGGAGAAAGGCCTTTTAACATAAATCAATGTTCCCTGCACAAAAAGGATTCCTCGAGGATCCTTGTGATGACAGTTGGCTTTTTCTATTAACAAGTTTATATTTGAGCATACCTTTTTTACTGGTGTGTATTGTCGGCAAAGATAAAATCATTGGAAAATCAACAAGTACATGCAGTATCTACATACAAAATAATAAACTTAAAATAAGAATAAAAACATAAATATATTTATTTTGATTTAACTTAAAATAGCTTACTCTAAACCCAATTTGGTAACAAATAAATCTTTATAATTTTGAGACTTTTAGAATAAAAAAAGTCACCAAAAAATTTCTTTCTCAAATCTTAACCCAAAACCCAATTACACTATTTTAATAGCCTACTCACTTAGCTATTCTTTTGATGTCTAACTGTTTGGGATTATCAAATCACAACTTAAACATCTTATTTATAAATGTGAAACCCCTTACACCTTTACTACAATTTTGATGTGAGATACAAAGCAAATTCAAACTCTCATAACTTCACTTAACTTTCGATGTGGGAATATGAAATTCAAGGTAAATCCCAACAAATCCTCCATTGACTTGAGCTCCAAACACTTCAACTATATCTATAAAGCTAATACGCTTGCCCTTTTTTTTTCCTCCATCGTAAGAATCTCAACAACTGAGCCTCTATAAGTATGTACAAGTGATTTTTGACCCTATTTTCTTGTAGAATCACACTATTATTCTTGTACACTTTCAATCGATTGTTACTACCATAGTATGTGTATCCCTGAAAAGTTAACTGACCTAAAGCAATCAAATTGTAGCTACAACTCGGTACATACCTTATATGACAAAGCATTCTAACAACACTATTGTGAGATCTAAGGTGAACACTCTCAATATCTTGAATCTACACCTTTTCATTGTTAGCAATTACAATATCCCCATACTTCTCATTCTCATCCAACTCCACAAAGCAACTCCTATAATTGCAGACATGGACAGTAGCAGCGAAATCTAAAACCCAAACTTTATTACTTTTCAAAGTTTGAGTCTCATTCACACAAGTCGTCAAAATGACATCATCATCACCAGACACCAACAATATTATCACTATTTCCTTCATCTGATTTTTTCTCATCATCCTCCATTTTGAAAGCAGCCATATCCCTTTTCAACTTCTTGCAATGCACTTGAATATGTCATTTTTCATCACAATAATAACATTTTATATCACTGTAATCTCTGTCACTTGACTTACATCTCTTTCTTGATCTATCAACCCTCTTTTGAGTCCTCATTTGATCAAAACCCTCTACAGCTAGTGTACTCCCTCTAAGTGATAAGTATTATATTCCAATAAACCTTTCATTCTCACACAACAGAGCTATCACATCATCCAACGTCAAAGTAAACCTACCCACCAATAAAGTTTGAACTAAAGATCTATAAGACTTGGACAAAGATGGCAACAAAATTAAAGTTTTATCTTCATCTTCTAACTCATCAATAGAAATCGCTAGCAATTAAGAAACTAACCTATTAAACTCATTCAGGTGATTATGAAAACTCACACATTCTTTCATTTTCAAAGAAAACAAATCTATCTTCAAACATAATATGATAGTTAATAACTTCAATACATAAATTCCCTCAAGCTTATCCTACAAACTCTTCAGAGTACTCTCAATCAATACATTATACTTTACCTCTAGAGCTAATGCCAATCTAATAGTACTAATAGCTTTTTTCTAAATTCTACTCTAATTATTGTCAAACAATCATCAGGCTTACTACTTTTTAATGCTTGATCCAACCCTTATTATACTAATAAATCTTGAATCGTACTTTGTCATAACACAAAATTATTCTTTTCATTAAATAACAGAATCTTACAAAGGCATATTAGACATACTTTTTTCAGATAATTTAAAATACTTGCTTTACGATCTCTTGGGCTTGCCTCTTATTCTTATGAACTTTGTTTTGATATCACTTGTTGAGAAATTAACACGCACATATAGTACATACACCCAAAATAGTAAGCTCAAAATAAGAATAAAAATACATAAATATATTTATTTTGACTCAACTCAAAATGACCTACTCTAAATCTAATCTACTAACAAATAAATTATTACAACTGTAAGACTTTTAGAATGAAAAAAGTCATAAAAAAAATCATTACTTAAACCTTAACCAAAAACTTAACTACACCATTTTAATAGCCTACACACTTAGCTGTTCTCTTGATGTCTAACTATCTAAGATTATACAAACCAAATCAAAATATCTTATTTATAAAGGTGAAACCCCTTATACCTTTACTAAACTTTCGATGTGAGACACAAGATAAATTCAAACTCTTATAACTTCACTTAACTTTTGATGTGAGATTATAAAATTTAAGGCAAACTCCAATAAATCTTCCATTGACTTGATCTCCAAATACTTCAATAATATCTACAAAGCTGACATGTTTACCCTTTTTATTTTCCTTCATTATAGAAATCTCAACAATTGAGCCTCTATCAAGTAAGTACAAGTGATTTTGATCCTATTCCCTTATAGATCACACTACCACTCTTGTACACTTTCAACCAATTATTATTACTATAGTATATGTACCCCCAAGAAGCTAACTCACCCAAAGCAATCAAATTGTAGCTACAACATGGTACATACCTTATATGACGAAGCGTCTTAACAACACCACTGTGAAATCTAAGGCGAACACTTCCAAAGCCTTGAATATACATATTTTCATTGTTAGCAACTACAATATCCTTATACTTCTCATTTTCATCCAACTCCATAAAATAATTCCTATCATTACAGACATAAATAGTAGCAGCGAAATCTAAAACCTAATTTTTATCACTTTTTAAAGTTTATATCTCATCCACATAAGTCGTCAAAATGACATTATCATCATTAGACATAACAATAGCAATATCACTCTTTCTTTCATATAATTTTTTTAATCATTCACCCTTTTGGAAGTAGTCATATCCTTTTTAACTTCTTGCAGTGCAATTGGATATGTCTTTTTTCACCACAACAATAACATTCTATACTACTGTAATCTCTGTCTTTTAACTTAGATCTTCTTCTTGATCTATCAATCTTCTTTTGAGTCTTTCTTCAATCAAAACCCTCTATAGCTAGTGTATTCCCTCCAAGTGATGAGTTCTGTGTTCCTATAAATCTTTTATTCTCATGCAATAAGATAGTCATATCATCATATTTCAAAG